GCAACATTGATGTCTAAGAAGCGTTCTTCTCTCTCTGAAGATTTTCAGCTTAAGGAGAGAAAAAAAACTGATGATGTTTTATTTAAATTCTAACGAACTTCATCAGAACTGAAGAAAGCCATTTCTATAAATACGAAACAACTAATTGAGTTATTATAGTGTGTTTAACATTATAAAGATAAAGCTGGGGTAAATTGCTCTTTTTTATCCACACGAACTAAAATTTTGTAACTCCAAGTAAAGTTGCTCTGTTTTTTTTTTGTGCATTCACTTTGTCTAGACTTTATATTTTTTTCCTGGGTAATTTCGCTACCACCACGACCCAAGCCCCTCTCCCATCTAGACTTTTTCTTTGAAACATGGATTGTTACAGCAAGACACGAGTTTTGCTATGGTCTATTTAAAATTACATTTGAGTACAAAACTAGAGTCTTCATTTCAATATCTCTAAAAATATATTAAACAAATTCTTAGAAATTAGAGTTTAATTTGGAATAACGATTTTTAGTTAGGGTTCGACTCTGACACTGGGATGTTCTTGGAATATATAAGGACATTTTTTCATTATGTATGAAAATAAGTGTGTTAGGTAACATCATTATAGTTTCCAATCAGAATTTTATAAGAAAAATATTCTATTATTTTTCGAAATTAATATATTGGGTAATTAGATTACATCTCAACGTATGTTAAAGGTACTTAGATATTACATGCTACATATTGATAGAATCACAACAAAATTAAATATTAAAAATTTTCATATAAATTTTTCTTGAGCTACTATTTGAAAGGAGAAAAAAGATACATACGTAGAACAGACTCACCAAGTATAGACTTTAGAAAACCAGAAACGTAAAGATATAGTTGAGGTAAGCTGCTCTTTTTTGGTCCATAAGAAGTAATTTTTTTTATTGTTAGATAGTACATACCAGATGTTGATAGGATGTCTAGATCAAAACAATATAAATCTTAAGATTTTCTATATATATTTTTATTGAGCTACAACTTGAAAGGAAAAGAAAGATACAGTCTAAAAAATATGGTAACCATGTAGAGGGTTCAAAAAATTAGGAGGGTAAAAGCAAAGCTGAGGCAAATTGCTCATGTTTGGTCTATGAACTAAATTGTTGAAACCTCAGGTAAGTTGCTCCCTTCTTACTCCTCCTTACGTGCATGAAATTTGCCTGAATTTTCCCATTAAAAAATAGAATCTTCATGAATTTTGTTATGACATCTCTTTGAAACTATTTATACTCGAAATTACGAGTAGGGGACTACGCCTCCACCTTGATTTCAGATGCAAACAAATCAATAAATTGGTAGAGTATGGGTCCCGTCCAATTACGTTCCAAGGGATAATCGGGTCCTAAGACCTTATTCCTCTCGAATCGACGACAAAGTCGGCTTCCCTACTATCTTAACTCAACCAAGAAGATTTTAAAAGTGGTTTTGAGAAAAGAGGAAGATTTTAAGAAATCAGATTTATAAAGAGAACAAAGGAAGGGAACTACAAATAAGCGACTAAATTATGTGTTTTTGTGCCTCTTTGTGCTTGTATGAACAACTAAAGGTAGTAAAACAGATGAAGATGTAGTTTGATCAAGGTCTACATACCTAAGAATCAAACACAAGATTTGAACGGTGTATATAGTACTATCAGTTCTAGTAATTGAGAGTGGGCCTAAGCTTGCAATATTAAACTTTCAAATTGGAGGAGACACGTACAGAGTGTGAATACTCTCAGGTTTATCTAAAGAGACTCAGTGTCCATTAATCAATATGAATATACAAGTTTGCTTTATATAAACAAATACATATGACAAGAATAAAAATAAATCGCAAACACCTATACTATATCCAGACTTACCATAAAATACAGGATATGGTATTTACCATTATCATATACACTGATTATAATATGCACCTTCCATACTGACCTGGTAGACAATATCTACTTTCCTTTCACACTCCCCCTCAAATTCAAAATATTATGAGAGAGAGCAACTAGAGTTTGAATACTAAGTTGCGAAAATGAGTAGTCCTTTAGGTGCATACTCAGATTGTTTGATCAACAAGCATAGACGAACATCTAAACAGGGCAAGCTCAAACAACGGTAGATCAACAAGCCTCACAAAATAGAAGACTCGAATAGAGCATGCTTGAGCAAACAAAAAAACAAAAACTTCAGATCTTCTCTATAGATAGAAAAACAATTGCGATAGCTGAGAAAACATAATGGCACTTGAAACAACCAATAGCACTTGGTGCATTCCAAAACGGATTCAATAGGTCGCAGACAGGCAAACATGATCGATTAACAGAGCAACAAAATCGATCCTATAGAAAAAAAAAAGATAGAGGGAAGATAATATCAGAAACAATACATTTTTGTTTCTTTTGTTTTTGGATGAACTTTCAGATGCAGTGTTTTAAAAAACGCCGAGTCGAACCGGACTCGCCCCGTTCAACTCGAAAATCGCAAAAAGTGGACCGTATCGGCTAAAAAATCAGAAATCGTCCGGTTCTAGAGAGAACCGGACGATTTTGTACAGTGACTCGCCGATTCACTGTACGGAATCGGCGAGTCCGAACAGTGAATCGGCGAGTCCTGTACGGAATCTTTTTTTTTTTTTGTAATTGTAATCCATGATAGATTTTTTTGTAATACTTGATCGATTTTTTTGTAG